GAAGGAAGGAAGGAAGGAAGGAAGGAAGGAAGGAAGGAAGGAAGGAAATTTGCAACACAGCAGGGAGTAATCCTGATAGCAATGAAATTTGAAAATAGACTTTCATACATTCCTATATGGGAAAGTGTTGTTTTTTTCAAATATCCTTGCTGCCTCTTATAGGAATGGCATTTTCCTGTATATATGTCTGCACCAATGCTGCAGTGTGTGAATCAGTGCTTAGGACAGTTATTTTCCTCATCTGTTGTGATTACATTAGAAAAAGTTACTTCTGCAAAGAAATTAGAAGTCACAGGGGCAGTGGACATTGCCCATCCACATGGGCAGCTTGTAGCACTACAATAGAATTGCTTTGCACAATTACTGAAGTTAGTTAGAATTGATCAATATTGCTAGTAATCAAACAATTTATCATACCTTCACTAACAGCATCACTTCACTGGTGCACCTATGTCAACACTGCTCAGAATGAGTCAGTCACCCTTGATACAAGTAAGAATTACCTTTCACATCTAGTTTGTCAAGAAGGCATAGGTCACATCTGGAAGACTTAGTGAGCCACTACTCTAGGAATATGAAACCATTGTTCCATCGACCAAACACCACCCTCCCTCTTTTTGCAAAACATTCTGTTTTACCAATAAAGGGCTGTCAACCTGGAGATTTAAAGATTTAACCTTAAAGGGACTATAATTATTTCCCTTGGGCTGGCAATATTTCTGCAGTTTACTCTTTCATTGTTCCCATATGACATTGTCATAATTTTTTTCTCTATTTCAGAACTGGCCCAAGTTTACTTTTTCAGCTGGGTCTGGTAGAAAAATGGGCTAAATGGGAATTGCATTTTAGTAACAATTATCAGTATTAGGAACAAGTTAGCTGTGTGACCAATATGGAGATTAACATGGGGCAACAAGCCATGCTGCATTTTTGAAAAGAGAAGTGGCGTAATTTATTTTCTTGCTAACTGTAATACTCTTAAAAATGGGATATATGTTGTTGTATCTTTTGTGGTGCAGGACCAGAATGTTCCAGAAACTTCACATCTATGACTGGAATGATCAAATCACCAGGATTCCCTGAAAAATATCCCAACAGCCTTGAATGTACTTACATTATCTTTGCACCAAAGATGTCAGAGATTATCCTGGAATTTGAAAGCTTTGAATTGGAACCGGATACAAACCCTCCAGGAGGCGCATTCTGCCGCTATGATCGCTTGGAAATCTGGGAGGGTTTCCCGGAAGGTAAGACTCCCACCCCCCTGATAGCTGTCATGATGTTGCTGATGCCATGGTTAACAAGGGCTGGTTTAATCATCATCATAAAAATAAAATTAGAAGATAAATAATATTTTAATATTAACCTTGAAATGTGTCCAGATTTCAAGGCATTAGGCTTTATCAGGGACAAAGAAGTCAGGCAGAAATGTATTGAGTTTGCTATTCTGTCCATCAAATGAAATGCAATTCTGCTTGTATTTTAATGTAGTTAAGCTGATGATAAAAGTATTAAAATGTTCACAAAATAATGGTATAAAGATACAAGGTTAATTCAATTATATATTATAGAGTGGTACAGAATTTGATCCTGCTAACATTGAGTTCTGCTGTAACAGTGATCTTACATCAAATTCTTGCTGATGTGGGCTAAAGAGATAAATTTTACATGTTGTTAGCATAATGGAGAGATGATATATTGTATTATTCTACTGCTGCTGGTTAAGTTTAGACAACTGTGAAGTGTTCTATAGGGAGTTAGTTTTACTCTCAGAAACTGAAATTGTTGCAAATTGTGGCAGATATTAGTCTTTTGAAGCAATCATTAGCTGCCAATTGGCTGATGAGTCAAGATCGGGATTTTGTTTTTGGCATAAAAGGGCTCTAGGAATTTGGGACCGGCTTTGCAGGCCCAGTCCATCCCTGAAACTGATGTCGAGATTTTTTTCCATGTGCCAGAAACCATCTAGTGCCAATGTGGGTGTGGTTGGTCCTGTAGTATCTCTGAACTTTCTGAAGTAGCTTTTCTTGAAGCTTGTGAGGCACTTAATATTTTAAATTTCTTTAGTATTTCTTGTATGAAGCCTGGATAAATAGTTTTATTTCTGTTTTTGTTTACCTATTCCTCCCTACTGTTTTGTTGTATGATTTTCATATTATTTCTGTTATAGCTTCTATATTTGTAAGCTATATAGAGATGTTTTTATATAGGAACCAGTATAAAATATATTCAATAATAATTTATACAATTATTATAATCATAATGTCACAGTGGCTCAAGGCCACTGCATAAATCCTTGGAGGGGTTATACACTCTTGGTCATTCAAGTACACACATAGACACACACACATAATGAAAAATCCATTGCTCCTGCTCTCCCTGGCATGGGTTTCCAGAATATTCTATATGATTCCAGGTGCTTTATTTTCACTTTCCTTGTTCCCCCTCATACTTGCCACATCACAAATTATTAATTGCTACTTGTGGCTAACACGCTGTTCACACAATCCATTGTTCTTTCTCATTTTCCTTACCACTGTGGATTGGGATTATTTGTTGGCTGTTACCACTAGTTGAATGAGTGTGAAATATGATTTAGAATGTAAGAGGTATGGATCCACTTTCCATCTAATGAGGCAAATGTGGGGACAATTGGGTCCTTGGCCATCATCTATTAAAAACAAGTGAGCGGAGAATGCAACTAAAATCCATGAAACATTATTAAATTCAGAAATGGATTAAGAAATGCTTTCCTCATAGCTGTCTTAGAGGGATTTAAAAGAACTGGAGAAATTCAAGGAAGATCAGTAGATTGATGGCTACAAATTTGGTTATCTCCTGAATCATAGGTAACAACATACTCTAAGCAGTCGTTCCAGGGAAATAAGACAAAAAGAGCTATCATCTCCTGATCAATGCTTCTGGGGTACTTGAATACATCAGACTGACAACCGTCTGGACAGTTCGAAAGATGGATTAGATGGGTTTTTGGCAGGACTTCTACATAAAAGAAAATGCTTACCCAGAATAGTCTCATTGAGATATAGAATTTGTTTGCACACATACTAAGCGGATTAAAAGCAATAACCCTTCTAAATATTCTTCGTACGGTTTCTAGAATAATTAATGCCTTAGGATTTCTTCCAAAGATCAAAATATCTTTTTCCATCCAAATTTAGCTCAGATTAAGAGGCTAGTCTTTTTCTATTGCTCTATGGGGAAAAAAGTGGATAATTTTCACCTATTGCAAGAAGTATTCTATAAACAAATAATTATAAGTAAGCATAAATGGTTAGTATTGTGATAAACTAGGATTTTTTTCAAAGGGAATATAAGATCAAACCAAATTAAGATCTGATAAAAGGATATACTTGTGAATGGTTTGCTTATGCACAATTATCAGAAAAATTTAAAGTAGATAAAATACTTTAAAGTTTTGAACTATCTAATGCCAAACTTGAAACAGCATTACATACAAATCATGGATATGCATTGCTAAAATGTACAACATTTTGTTGAAATTTGAGACAGAAGAAAATGAAATGAAATTATGTATGACAAAATGGGCTAAAAATTTGATTACAGTACATGAATAATGGGAAAATATGTGATTGAAAGGGTTAAAATTTACATTAAGCTCTAATCTTAAATAGAATTTGTTGTGGAGCAGCAGAGATATGAGACAGACTCAGAGCGAACAGTTAAAAGGCTTTATTCAGGGAATAAAGGGTTGCTGCCGCTGCCGAGGCTAACAGGCAGATCAGCTGGCGGCAACAGCTGATGCCGTTTGACAGCTCCTTTTATAGCCGGCTATCAAACGGCATCAGCCAATGGGAGCGATCGGCGCTCCCGCCAGAACGGCGGACCAGAGTGGGGATTTCTGTCAGTTCTGTGAACACCACAGAATTTTTATAACTTTTTATAAATAATATAGTGTTGATATTTGGCACCAGAGAAATTACCTGGAATGTATGAAGGTACTTCAAATTTGTGTGGAATATGAATAATAGGAAGAGACATTTTATAATATTTGATGAACATTAATAAAGCCAAACATTTTTTGTTACAAATACACTCACTAATTCAAAACATTTTAAAGTGAAATGAAAGGCTTTTCTTTTGGAAATAATGAACAGAAAGAACAAAAAATCATGGAACTTTGTTTTTATTCTATGACAACTGCAGAAAGATTATTATATGCTCAAAAGTGGGAAAATTTAGCATTATCCAAAATGCAGGAATAGTAGGTAATAATGGTGGGTACCTCACTTACAGACATGACTAAACTTCACTGATTACTGAAAAGATATTTACATTTATTACCAAAAGAAAAATCTACACTTTTTTCATGAAATAGAAAAAAAAAATGAACTGATGAGTTCTGATTTTGATGATTAAGAAAAAAAAATAGATAATAGAAATAAGAAAACGTTTTTGTAACTATAGAGTAAGTTATAATTTTATAATCATTTGTATTTGCTGCTAAGAAAATAGGAAATTACATTTTATATGTCTTTTCATCTTCCATTGCATCTTTTTCTTTTGTCATTTTCTTTTTCTTCTTTTCCTTTGTTGGTTTTTTGTTAATTGTTATCTTTTTTTTAATAAAACATTTATGTAGTGTTTAACTTGTCCATTGCAACAGCTTTATAACATAGTGTAACTATGCCTTAAATATAATAATTAGCTTTTCTCTGTTGTAGAAAGGTTTATGGTATGAATACCTGCAGTAATCTTTACTGCAATTGATGTGTGGGGAAAAAAGACTAGTTGAAAAAATTATTTGAAATATTTCCAAGTGATTAGTGTCAAGGTTATTTCCCGTAAGGTAGCAATTTTCCAGTTCAAGAGAATGATAGAGCTAAAACTATTATGCTCAAGTATTATAGTTTTTCTAATATATCTTAGAATTTTAAAAAATGTCCTTTATTTAAGCTGTAAACATTTTAAATATATATTTCTGTAACTACTTATCCATTATATCTTTTCTAGGATGACAATAGTTTTGAAATGTGCATTATTTAGCATATATAAACATATAAATATTATCTTTTAATATGAACCATTATTTAATATTCCATATTAACTTTTTCCATTAACTGATGACAATAAATCTACTGGACATAAGTAGTATATTAACAACCAGATTGTGCCTAGTTCAGAAATAATTTGAAGGAAGTGCTTCAGACTTTTCACAAGCTTGAGTACAATACCAGTTTGGCTATTCATTAAATCAGTCTATTATTTTTCAGCTGTCTATGTGACAATTAAAATGGTGCTATTGCTTTAAGAGTTACATTAACTTTAACTAGCTGTATCTTTTTTTTTTTTTAGATAGAGCTACTTTAATGATTAATAGAGAGAACTCTGGTCAAGTTCCAAAGCAATTCTTTTGATATATTTTTTTTGTAGCATTCACAGCCCTATTAACAATAAATATAACATTGGACAATATTTTGCTATCAAAGATTTTAGTCTCATTGCCAAAGTATTTTATCAAAGAGACTGTATTCTCTTTTATGGCTGTAGAAGATTAATGTTGAACTTCAGAATGTTCAAAGAAAAGCTCAGGAGAAGCCCTTCCTGGAAAATCGAACATTTATAAGTTTTTCTAGTTTTTTTGGTGTGAGTTTTTATAAGATAGGCTTCCATTAGTTAAGGGTAGGCTTTGCTATTTCATAACAGATTCCCTTGCTTTCGTAACTGAACAGCATGCCTAAATCAATTCATTAAGAACATTTCTTGCAAAGAGCTCAAGTCAATGCCACAAAGTGATACGTAACCTCGAAAATGACATTTTTGAGGTCAACATCCATCTACATCTTCTTTGTTAGTGTACAATATGCTTTTAACATGCCATTGCCAATAACTTCATTTTATAAAACATTTTCTGGATATTGGCCATCCTACTATTAAATCAGAAATCATAAGAAATACAAGTTCAATAGGCGTAAGGACAGAAGGGTAGTACTCCATAAAAGTGATTTTGTTTTTTGTTCTTTTTGTTCCAGAGAAGCAGCATAATGGATGAGGGAGAGATGATTTGAACAACTTATGTCTATTAGATTTGTCACATTTCCATTTATGTTAATAAGAAACATAACAGTGGATTTATCCTATTCCAGCAATTGGATTATGCCTGCGTGAAATCTCCAAAGTGTCATTCAATTGCTTAGCTTTTAGAACACCAGGCATGTGATTTATAGGTTTGTGCAACATTTTAGAGTCTGTCTCCAAAAAGAACTTT